GTTACGGATCCCACCTTTTGTTATTCTGAAGAAATAAATGTTTGTGTCCGTGTGCAAAGTGAATCTGTATGGGAGCGATTTTTATAATTATCAATCAGCTGCTGCATCTGTAGGGCTCTAATAAGGAAAATTGCTGGATCTGCATCCTTTTAGATGTGACTCCCTTTGGGAGTATCTATCTAAAAATGACATTTTTGTTGCAGGGGATGCCAAAAATCTGACATATCTTAGTGCAAACATCTGGGAAAATCAGTAAGCCAATCACACAATCAGGAAATTACATTGCTGGGGGGCATTCTGTACAACATCTGTGATCAGCTGTACAATAGCAAAGGAAATTAATACATTGCATAGTACTAAGATTGAGATATCAGGGTTGATTTACAATTAAGATGCTCAGTTTGCAAGGGACGTTGCTTAAGTGATTGAAATTTCACTTTGTAAAAAAAATACCCAATGATGTGCAAAAAAAATTTAAAAAACAGCATTTTTGCATGCATGGTAGATGATGGAAGTCAGCAGAGCTTCATATCATTCACCAAGATCTGGGGCAAATTCCCTTGCAAAGTAAACAGTCTATTAGTCTTTAGTAAATCAACCTTGTTGCCTTTCTAGCAGTGCCAGTGTGTTATGAGTATATAATGCACTTTTACAGGGATGGTTTTAAAAGAAAAAAAATGGGTTAGTTTATCTTTACAGAATAAATATAAAGGTGAATTAACACTCAACACCCTCCCTACTGTACTTACCTTCAGCGATCCTAAGCTGTTAGTGTCCCTTGCAGCCACACCATCGGTCTGGGGATTTGAAATCCCTGCTCTTCTCCCTCTTCTCTGTGCAGCGCTTCTGGAACGCAATAAAGCAATTTACTAATATGATGCTGAACAATCAGAATCAATCTGGTCTATCTTGGAATCACTGCATGGAGAAGTGAATGGATTTCAAATCCTCGCACTGCTGGAGCAGCTGTGGGGGCACTGACAGCTCGGTATCACTGAAGGTAAGTATAGAAGGGATGGGGGGGGGGGTGCGTGATATAATGAGTCAAGGTTAGTGATGAAGCTTGGGGCAGAGTTGTAAATGGCTTTGTATGTTGTTGTTAGTATTACTGTATATATTTTATTTGTTGGGCAGTCAGAATCCAGTGCATCCCCCAGGGTGAGGATAGGAGGCCAGGGGTGGACACTGAGCGGTTGGTAAGGTGATGGGTCTGACAGCAGCATTCATAATAGACTGAAGGGGAACCTGTATAGAGGTAGGCCTATGAGGAGGGAGTTGCAATAGTCAAGTTGAGAGATAACAAAGGAGTGAATGAGTTGCTTAGTGATTCCATCAGTTAAAAATAGGTGTATTTTGGAGATCTGAATGTTTACATACACTTTTTTTTTTCTTCTTATGAAAGCAGTATAGGTACCAGAATTTTAGCTACAATCAACCTCTTGCAGACTTTGTATGGCAAGGCTCAGACCAGGAGAGGAAAAAGCCATGCAACAGTTCTTATGTGCTAAAAGAGAGCATAATAGGAGGAGAGAATAGAGTGACAGATAAGCAGAGGGCCTCATGCACACTGCTGCTCATGGACGTGAGTTTAGGAACTTTTGAAGTTTTTTTGCCAAAGCCCCTGAACTCAACTCAATAAAAGCCTGTGTGTCCATGTACACATAGGCTATTACCAGAGTTTAGGAGTAGCAGAGTTTAGGGACAGTTAATCCTTCCTCTTCTGAACGCAGAATAATCGCGTTCAGAAGAGGAACATTGTGGCCAAAAACCGCTAAACGCGGCAAAAGCGCTTGGGCATTTATCCATGTCAATGGAAAATACTCTGGTCAATTAAATGAATAAACATCAAAGCGGTAAACGCTGTACCGCATTTACATGTGTTTTTGCCACATTTAGCAGTTTCCTGCTCCCAGGAGAGTTTAACGGCTAGATGACTTCTTGTGTACATGATTCATAACACATGATCTAATCAGTCTGCTGCTTCTCTTTTCACTGTCCAATCACAGGTTGAGGTAGGGACAGGACCTGGTGTTAACTGTCTTTTAACCTCTGCTAGAAAGGTTTTCTGCAGCAGATCTTTGTAAATCTAAGAACTGGTTGCACAGAAATACAAATCTTTTGGTGGGTAAAACTGCTCTTCTGTATGTATTTTACTGTATCTGTAAATAGCTTCTGCTTAAAGAATAGTACCTCTTCCAAGAGCAACAATTTCCTTTAATAAAGGATGGATTGCTGTACCAAAACTGCAATTTGTATGACTGGCCTACATCTCTGTGGACAAGGAGAAACAAAATTCATTTTAGGTCCTTTCTTTTCCAGATGTAGGTTGTAAGGTCTTCTACTTCTTCTGCAAATTGAACCAGGTGTCAGACCTTGAGACCTGAGACTTCAAAACGCAAGTGGAGGTTGACCCTTAGCTGTATTGTAACAAACAGAACATGAAATAATTGCTTTCCTTGAAGCCCCACATTCCTGCCTTTCTCCTTTTTTTTCTTTTTCTAACTTGTATGTAAAGCCCATTTATTACACAATTGAGACAGATTTTCTGAAGGCGATGTCAGTTTGTAGCTAAGGCCAGTTATTTTGCTCCTTTTACAATTGTGAAACATCGTCTTACTTTAAAAGGCTTACTAAATGTGCAATTGTCTTAATTGCTGAGCTTATAAACAGTTTGGGCTGCCTGATGCATAACATTTTGGTTCACAATTTGAAGACATTGTTTCAGACATGTAGTAGCTCAAGTCAATCTTCATTAGTGACTAGACAAATTCAAGCCACACAAGTAGGCACAGAAAAAAGATCACTCTAATGGGTGTTAACACACCATCATAGGTTTTTTTTTTTCTCACTAATGAAATCATCTTTTCTTAGAAAAATTGGAGCTCTGTGAGAGCATTGATTTAGGGAAAATAGTACAGTTGGAAAGATTAGACTTTTTATATATAGTATATATATTTTTATTTTATTTAGAATATTTAATAAACTGAAAGAAGATATTCTCCTGTACTAAAATAAGGGTTGGATGAAAACTTCTGAAGTGTGTTTATAGAATGTTTAATGCCTGTATCAAGCAGTAAAGCCAGTATCCATGGCTTGCTCTTGCTATTTCAGACCCCGCTCACACTTGAGCGTTTTTCAGCTCGAAGCTTGACACTCAGAAACACTCAACAAGTAAAATTCCATTCATTTCAATGGCCCCTGTTAACATTTCAGTGTTTTGTTGCCTGTAGCAAAACACCTGTCACTCAAACAAAAGTACATGCACTACTTTTCAGTTTGATTTGAGCATTTTTGTCCTCATACACTTGCAGTGCTGTAATTTTCTGTAAAATGCAATGCAATATGGCTACCTGGAGGCGTTCTGTACACAGATGGTGTACAGAACACCCCCTGAAATGTCATTTTTCCTGCTTAAGTGATTGGCTTACTGATATTCCCAGACGTCTGTACTATGATACAAGTCAGATTTCTGGCATCCCCTCTAGCAAAAATGTCATTTTGGTGAGATACTTCCTATGGGAAATCACATCTAAAGGGATGCAGACCCTGTAATTTTCCTCATACTTCTAGATTGTAAGCTCGAAAGAGCAGGGCCCTCGATCCCCTCATGTTTTGCATTGTATTGGTATTGTTCTGTCACATGTTCTGTCCCCCTTTGTAATGTACAGCGCTGAGTGAACTATTGGCGCTTTATAAATACTGTATAATAATAATAATAATAATAATAAGTGCTCTTTAGGTGCAGCAGCTGATTGATAATTATAAAACTGCCCCCATACAGATTCATCTTGCACAGACAAACGGACATCCACTTCTTTAGAATAGCAAAAGGTAGGAATCTAAAACAAAGTTTGTTAAAATCCCTGCAATGTACATAGATCACCCAGAGGGGAACGTTTTTCCTAAAGTAAAGTGGAGTTACTCTTTAAATAAGCAAATCATTTTATTAGAAAAATAGACGTTAAAAACATTCAAAAGGTCAATATACAAAACACATAACATAATGTATACACAAATAAAGGAATATACAGTACATCATCTGCATGATCAGTATGTTACAGTTGTGTTCAAAATAATAGCAGTGTGTTTAAAAAAGTGGTTGAGGTTGGGTTCACACAAATGCGGTGCAGTATGTCGCATGTAATTCGCATAGAAATCAAACCGCATTCCTGTGCAAATCACAGGCGAATTGTGTGCGGAGCGATTGGAGCCATACATGACTCAAATCGCACCGCATCTGCACTAAAAAGGTGCAGGACGCTTTTTTTTGGTTCGCACTAGAATCGGATCGCATGCATATTCACACCCATGCAATGTGATTCTGCACATTGCACTGCGTTTTGTGAATCGTTTTCGGGGTGTTAACTTAACATACACACCCGCAGCGGTTTGCATGAACGGGATGCGATTCTGATGCGGTGCGGAATTTGCACAGAAAACGCTGCAAATTCCGCACCGCATAAGTGTGAATCCAGGCTAAAACTCAAAATCCTTATAATAGGTTTCATTTCCATACATGCAAACGCATTGGGAACACTGCACAGCCTATTCCAAATCAAAACATGAAGAAAAATGTTTCAAATTTGTTATTATTTTACAGAAAATAAAGAAAAAGGAATATTAGACTGTTGAAAAAAAAATAGGAGTGTCAGCATTTTTCTTTACAAACTCAAACATTTACTGTATAAACTGAAAAATGCTTGAAGATTTATCTTTCCTGTGAATCACTGAACTAATATTTAGTTGTATAACCACTGTTTCTGAGAACTTCTTCACATCTGTGTTGCATGGAGTCGACCAACTTTTGGCACCTGTGAGCAGGTATTCCAGCCCAGGATGATTGGACTACGATTCACATTTCCTCTGCAGTTGTTGGTTTTATCTCAGAAACAGTATTTTTGATGTCACCCCACAAGTTTTCTACTGGAATAAGATCCGGGGATTGGGCTGGCCACTCCATAATGTTAATCTTGTTGGTCTGGAACCAAGATGTTGCACGTTTACTGGTGTGTTTGGGGTCGTTGTCTTGTTGAAACACTTTTCAAGGGCATTTCCTCTTCGGCATGAGGCAACATGACCTCATCAAGTATTTTGATGTATTCAAAGGGATTCATGATCCCTGGTATGCCTGTCATGTGAATCAGGGTCCGTAAGAACGCATCACAAATCGCATATGTGTGAACCAGGGCTGAAAAAGAATTGCATTTTTTTTTTTTAAAGTGGTTGTCGCTAACAGTAGCAAAAAAAAGAAATGCAAATATATGACTACCATTATGTGAGTGTTAGAAAAAAGCACATAATAATATTTTAGTAGCTTTTTTTGTTATTGTTGAAGTATGCTAGGTGTAATGTGTTCACAATGATTGGTAATGCTGTTAAATTTGCTTGCAAATACCGTATATACTCGAGTATAAGCCGAGTTTTTCAGCACATTTTTTGTGCTGAAAAACGGCCCCCTCGGCTTATACTCAAGTCAACGTCAAGGGGGGCGCGTACAGGGGTCGGCAGAGGGCTGCAGTCTCTTACCTGGCTCCCACGATGATCCATCCAGGAAACGCTGCTCCTTCCGTCACTCCGGCCACTCCCTCACTCCTGCCGCTCGGCTCCGCCTCCTCACCGGTGATTGGCCGCCAGAACTGTAGCTCAGGAAAGGAACACAGGCGGCCAATCACGGGCGAGGAGGCGGAGCCGAGCGGACCCGCGAAAATCGAGTGAGGGAAAAGCCGGTAAGTGTGCAGTGCAGAGGTGCTGCTGCAACCACATATGCTGGCTGCAGCAGCACCATACTGCAACAGGGGTCAGCAAGTGTCATTGGTGTCAGTGGGAGGAATAGTGCCGCATCATTGGTGTCACTGATACTAATGATGGGGCATTATTCCTCCCACTGACACCAACGATGGGGCACTATTTCCCCCACTGATACTAATGATGGGGCATTATTCCTCCCACTGACACCAACGATGGGGCACTATTCCTCCCAGTGATACCAATGATGGGGCACTATTCCTCCCACTGATACCAATGATGGGGCACTATTCCTCCCACTGACACCAATGATGGGGCACTATTCCTCCCACTGATACCAATGATGGGGCACTATTCCTCCCACTGACACCAATGATGGGGCACTATTCCTCCCACTGACACCAATGATGGGGCACTATTCCTCCCACTGATACTAATGATGGGGCTTATACTCGAGTCAATAGTTTTTTCCCAGTTTTTTGTGGTAAAATTAGGTACCTCGGCTTATATTCGGGTCGGCTTATACTCGAGTATATACGGTAAATGCTAGAAGTAGTAACTAATCACTGAACAGATGGAATTTACGGTTCTCTATGGTGTATGCTATATAGGAAGCACATAATAGCAATGATAATACATTGCTCCAGTGTATGCGACTGATCACTATTGTATGCTGTTTGTGTAGCTTACACCAAAGGGAGTCACATGATGAATCTGTTTAGTAAGCAGCCATTACTTTATATTATATCAATTAATCACTAGAAATTTTATTTGCATGATTGAGCTAGCACAAATAGTCTGTGTAGCTTTAGTCTAATATTCTGCACAACACCATTTATCTGCTGCTTACCATTCTAATATGGATTGAATATATGACCTTTGCCTACCTGGATCAGACGGGTATTGCACCTAATGTGCAAATGTAATAGCATGTACTAAAAACTGTCAACAGCTGGCTGAAAAAAGTATCATGACTTTCTAAAAAAAAAATAATAATAAAATGAGGAAAAATAGATTAAAATCCATAATGATACTAATTTTAAAAATGAGTTTGATTTGTTTTACAATGACACCGTTCCCCATATACATGGTAACATCAGTATGCTTATGCTATATCTAAAGAGTATCTTCATATGCTTTTCCACTTTAAGCACTAAACGAGTTATGTTAATGCAGGAGGCTAATGTATGCATATGTACAAAAAAATGACCAGGCAGCTGTTGTAGCTTTACAACAGCACCTTGATATGACATCGCATTGAGGCTAACCTGTTTTGTAATAGTGTTCCATTGTGCTATTAAGATAAAGCCTAATTTTTATGTACTTGATTGAAATTCTGATCTTTCCGTGCCTTAGCGCATACAGTCTGGAATTTTAAAAGCATTCAACAACCCGACAACTAAAACAGCAGATGAGGATACAAGGAAAAAAGTTAAAGGTAAGTTTTCACATAGAATGCTTTTAAATATGAACATATGTAGGATCATCGGTAGGAGGTGGGGGGAGAGCAAAGTACAGATGTAACTGCCTATGCACATATGCTGTCAACCAAAAGCCCATTGCTTTTAGGCAGACACTGATCTGATATGTCACATTAATAATACCTGTGCTGACCTCTATATTTCCCCCGGAGATAAATGGCTGTTTAGGGAGCTCACTACTCACACAGGTGTCATAGGGAAGTTTGACCTATATGCACAAGTGACCGTCTGTATTGAAGCTGTCAAATTATCGCCCAGTGTTATGGTCAAATAAATTTTCATAGTGGTAGATTGCTTAATTTCTGGGGATTACTTGTAATTCTAGTTGCTCTTCCTGGTGGATGGAAATTGGTTGAAACTAACTGAAAATTGCTACATGTATGGTGAGCTTTAAGGTGGTCATACAAAAAACATTCCTCTTTCAGTTTCTTTTATATTCACTCATAACCTTGGATCAGCTCATGAAAAATTAAAAAAAAAACAATAATTCAGTTAATTACACATTACACAGCTTAATGAAGAGAGCTCTGATAGCTGATTGGAGGGAAGAGACACCCCCCTCCACACAACTCACAGGAACAGACCTGAGGCTGTCAATCTGCTGGAGCTCCCTCCCCGTCACTATTTTTCTCTTGGAGTCAGGAAAACTTGTCAGAAGTGACTCATGCTGATAGCATAGGAACGGGGCAGCAGACAGAAATGACACTTAGTGCTTTTATTGAGACATTCTCTGCAATGGCTATATGTTCTTAGTCTGAGATCTCCTTTGTTGCTCTTTCCCACCGGAGTTGCTTCCCGTACCAACCTATGAGGGCTCAGTGTCTCGCACCAGGATTTCTGCCTGAGGAGAAAGAAACCATTCCAGTAGGAAGCTAGGGTGGGACATGGTAATGCAGGCTAGTTCAGGAGAGGTGGGGGGAGTGGATTGACTAGACCCTAACACCCCGGTCACATCGGGTGCGACTTGGCATGCGATTTGCATGCCAGGCAACTTGCAAATCATATGCCAAGTCGCACCCTATTGTCCGCTATTAGAGCGGTCATATCGGTGCGGTTCCAACTTGGTCAGAGCCACACCGATTTCTAAAGTAGCGCATGCACTACTTTTGTTGCGATTTGCATAGACATCTGTGTCAGATGTCTTGCAAATCGCAACTGAAATCGGAATGTCACCTTTTGAAATTGTGCGACTTCACTGTAAGTCTCACAATTTCAAAATCAGCTTTGATGTGACCGGAGGCTAAAGTCTGGGTTATGGCAGCTGGTATTGCTAATTTTGTTTTTGGTGGTGCAACTTCCAAGGTTGTCACATTTATCCTAGCTTCACTACTTTGTGACTCATTGACGTGAAATCAGTATGTATCCATTGAAATGCTGGGAATCATGACCTGTACAATTGTTCCTGGTCATTGGCTAATAAAATAGTGAAGAAAGGATAAGGATGTCAGCCCTGGAGGATGATCAATCCAAAAAGCAGTCAGTAACAGCAGCCATTTTTCTTAAAAGCGCTACACTGGCTAAGTGGTTAGCACTTCCACCTGGCAGCGCTAGGGTCAAGAGTTCAAGTCCCAAGCATGGCACTACCTACCTGGAGTTTGCATGTTCTCTCTATGCCTGCATGGGTTTCCTCTGGGTACTCCTGTTTCCTCCCACACTCCAAACACATACTGGTAGGTTAATTGGCTCCTGTAAGAGACAGTTTCAAACATTTTACCAATGTGTCTTTCATGGTTATTAAATTTCTTTTAATTGGTTGAGGTGGCAAACCATGTCTTTTTTTTCACTTGAACAGGCTCATCAGCTGACCCCTACCATACTGTAGACTAGAGGGCTATATGAAGTGTAATGACATAGATTTATGTCTATATGTTTTTTCCCTTTCTTTTTAAGTTCTAATGAAAAAAAGTTTTATTAGAAGTTTTTGATAAATGTTGCTAAGAATTATAGGATTGTTAAAATAATAATTAAGAAATATAGGTAGGATTAGTTTATTACCTTTATTTCCAAAATTGCATTTTTTTAAATTATTATTATTATTTAATTCAAAGTGCTTCCCTTCTGTAGTTGGAATGTCTCCATGTTTTCCATGTTACTAAGAGAGGTGATGTTGTATTGCAGTCAGATTACACTACATAATAGCATAGTGCCATCTTGTGGTGTGACTTGCTAAAGTCTCCAACTTGACTGTGTCACTGATAATGGATTTAAAATTAGTCTCTCTCGCTCTCTTTTTTTTTTTTACTAGAACAATGAAAGTAGGTAAAATAAATATTACATATGTATAAACTGAATGTGAAATATATCTATAGAATATTCCATAATCAGATGGAAACACAGAAAATCTTTAAATCACTGTATTTGCCAAAGAAAACATTTTGGTTAGTTTATCCAGAGATAAAGGCTGATGGCTGTGTACCACCTAAAGTTCTTATATGTGTATGTATTCTCTATGACCAGTTCATAGTCACCAAAATACCATTAGTTATGCTGTGTTCAGTCTGATATGTGAGCAAGATAATGCAGACCTCATGCTGGTTGCAATTGGCACCTACAGGGCTCTCAAAAAGTACTGCCCACTTCCTGATTTTTTTTTTTTTTGCATATTTGTCACACTTAAATGATTCAGAAAATCCAACAAATTCTACAGTTACACAAAGATGACCCGAGTAGATACAAAATGCGGTTTTAAAACGATGATTTCATTTATTAAGGGAAAAAAGCTGCACAAACCTGCCTGGCATTATGGGAAAAAGTAATTGCCCCCTAAACCTGATTACTGGTTGTGTCACCCTTGGTGGCAACAGCTGCAATCAAGCATGTGCAATAACTGGCAATGAGTCTTTCATATCGCTGTGGAGGAATTTTTGCCCACTCTCCTTTGCAGAATTGTTTTAATTCAGCCACATCGGAGGGTGTTCGAGCATCAACTGCGTGTTTAAGGTCATGCCACAGCATCTCAATTGGATTTAAGTCTGGACTTTAACTAGGTTACTCTAAAACCATTTTTTTTTTAGCCGTTCAGAGGCGGATAACAATAAGTGCAGCGATATAAATTAACACAAATAGCCCCACCACACAAAGATATAGAAAAGTGTAAATATGAGCATGAGTTAGTGCAAACACAAAAGAACAAATCCGTTGCATAAGTCCATGCAATTGTTCTTAGGTCCGCAGGTAATGGTGCTTGTAACATGAAATAATCCTCCACCGTCACCCCAATAATACAGCCTCTTACCAGAAGGATTTGATCACCCTAAAAATGGTCAAATAACACAGCTTTAAGCTTCCAGATAAGAGTCATCAGTCAATTAGCTGTAAATGTACTGTTCATCTGAATTTAATACCTAATAGACCAGATCTATCAATGAAGATCAAGTAGGGGTGAGCTTTATACACTTGTTTTTCTCAGTTTCCTTTAATTTTATCCTTCATTGCTTGTAACTCACGTGTGACTCACAGATCCTCACTCTTCATGATCTGATTCCTTCATTTAAAAGCATTAGGTCTCGTGCGCTTTTCCCTTTAAGTGGGGTAATTATTGTCATGACTGGTTTTCCCCTTATGGACTCCTGGCTTTCTCAATTCATCTCCATCCAAGTTAAAGGAAGCCACTGAGGAGTGGGGGAAGAGTTTTCAGAGCACACAGGAAGTTAGTCCTCCAGCTTCTGACATTTACTTGCCTGCGGATTAACCTGGATTGAGATTTTTTTTATTAATTTCGTAGAGCTCAAGCGAGTTTGACCTGTTGGTGTATTTCTGATCATTGTCCTGCTGCATAACCCAACTGCGCTTGAGCTTGAGGTCACAAACTGATGGCCAGACATTCTCCTTCAGGATTTTCTGGTAGAGGACAGGATTCATGGTTCCATCAATTCTGGCAAGTTTTCCAGGTCCTAAAGTTGCAAAGAAGCCCCAGACCATCACACTACCACCACCACCATGTTTGACTGTTGGTATGATGTTCTTTTTATGAAACACTGTTTTACACCAGATGTAACGGGATGCACACCTTTCAAAAAGTTCAACTTTTGTCTCATCAGTCCACAGAATATTTGCCTAAAAGTCTTAGCGATAATCAAGATTTTTTTTTTGCAAATGTGAGACTAGCCTTTTTGTTCTTTTTGGTCAGCAGTGGCTTTCACCTTGGGACTCTCCCATGGATGCCATTTTTGCCCGGTGTATTTCTTTTTGTTGAATCATGAACACTGACCTTAACTGAGGCAAGTGAGACCTGCAGTTCTTGCTCTGTTTTTAAATGTTCTGGGTTTTTTAATGACCTCCTGGATGAGTCATCATTGTGCTGTTGGAGTAACTTTGGTAGGCCGGGCACTCCTGGGAAGGGTCACCTCTATTCCAAGTTTTCTCCATTTGTGAATAAAGGCTCTCACAATGGTTCACTGGAGTCCCAAAGCCTTAGAAATGGCTTTGTAACCCATTCCAGATTGATACATGTCAATTACTTTATTTCTCATCTGTTCTTGAATTTCTTTAGATCGTGGCATGATGTGTTGCTTTTTGAGATCTTTTAGCATGCTTCACTTTGTCATACAGCTTCTATTTAAGTGATTTCCTGATTCAACAGGTCTGGCACTAGTCAGACCTGGGTGTGGCAAGTGAAATTTAACCTGGCATCCAAAAAAAAATGTGGTTAATCACAGTTTATTCATGATTTAGCAGGGGGGAAGGCAATTACCCTTTCACATAGGGCCAGGCAGGTGTGGGCAGCTTTTTTCCCTTAATAAATTAAATCATTTAAAAAAAACGGCATTTTGTATTTACTTGGGTCATCTTTGTGTAATATTAAAATTTGTTTGATGATCTGAATCATTTAAGTGTGATAAATATACAAAAAAAAAAAAGAAAAATAGGGAAAGGAGCAAATACTTTCACGTTTGTGTAGGTACTTAAAGCGGAGCTCCACCCAAATGGGGAAGTTCTGTTTTAAGCCATTGTCCCCTACTCCCCATTAAAAATTGGCACCTTTGAGGTACCCGCTCCCACTTCTGCTGCTATCGCCTAGGCGATCAGAAGTGGAAGTTGTCCTCCCTCCCCGTAGTCTTCTGGGACATGTGATGGGTCCCAAAAGACTACGGGGCCATTCACAAAGCACAGTGCTTCTCGCGCATGCGCAGTGGGCACTTGGCTGTGAAGCCGCAAGCTGTCACAGCCGGGTGCCCACACTGAAGATACCAGCGCCGGGGAGAGAAGACGACCAGTGAAACCAGCGGTGGTGAAGACACCGCTGGACCAAGGGACAGGTAAGTGGCTGTATTTTAAAAGTCAGCAGCTACAGTTTTTGTAGCTGCTGACTTTTTTTTTTTTTTCAGGTGGAACACCGCTTTAATTTACTTTCACATGTTAATATACCTCTCTGTTTCAAGTCTGAATTGGAAGTCCTTATCTGTAAACTTTGTCTTCAATATTTACTCCAGCCAAGAACAAGGATCAGCATTAGTTCCAAAGAACTAACATGTTAGGAGGTCAGCAATGTTAGTTTATATATTTGTTATGACTGGTATAATTTAAAAGAAAAGGATCACACTTTAATAATATAATATGGAAATACATCAGTTTTCTTCATTGTAATACCAAGGCCCTGCAGAATAATGCTGAGTTTATGGTCTTGTAATGCACATTTGAGATCTTTTCATTACGTGGGGCAGCATAGTGGCTAAATGGTTAGCACTTCCACCTGGCAGTACTAGGGTCGTTGGTTCGAATCCCAGCCATGGCACCTCCTGCCTGGAGTTTGCCTGTTCTTCCTGTGCCTGCGTGGGTTTCCTCCGGGTACTCCGGTTTCCTCCCACACTCCAAGGACATGCTGGTGGGTTAATTGGATTCTGTCTAAATTGGCCCTTGTATATGAATGTGAGTTAGGGACCTTAGATTGTACACCCCTTGAGAGTTAGGGACTGATGTGAATGTACAAAATATATGTAAAGCGCTGCGTAAATTGACGGCGCTATAGAAGTACCTGAAATAAATAAATAATTACGTACAACTGGATTCTCGTAGTGCTTCTGTTTGAACTTAAAGCAGATCTATATTGCATCTGAGACCCACAAACCAAGAACACTATTGAATTAATTTTTAGTATTCAAAGCAAACTCACCCATCCATCCATGTCGCCATGCTGTATATGAAAAACTCTCCTTAGCATTTCTGGCCCTGGCCATCTTGAGTATGGGCAGATGATTCATGCAGCATTTATTTAATGGATTCCATCTACCTTTGGCTGAGGCAGGAGGGTGTGCTTAGCTGAGAACATCCCTGCTCCCCTTCTAAAGACTCCTGGGATGTATGACATCATTTGCCTAGGCATGGAAAACATTAAGTAACTGAAGAAATGTTAAAAAATTTTAAAATAAGTAAATATATTAGACCTTTCTATCTATTTACTAACGGTAGCAGCATAAGGATTAAAAATCATCAATGTTGCTTGAGAGAGTGAAGTTCCACTTTAACATTTAAGTAGTAGGCAAGACATTTACTAACATGTTTTTCACAAACTGTTGCAGAGATATATTGCCACAGATGCTTGTTAAAAGGAATTGATTTGCTTTGTGTCCCTAGCTTACGGAAGAGAAGGAGTAAAGACAAATTTCATAGATAGAGTGTTTGTCGGTGAATTAACCAGCACAATCATGTGTGAGGAATGTGAACATGTAAGTATATCTTATTAGTGTCTGTGTGAAAAGGCACTGTAGCTTAAGAGCTGTGGAATCTGCTATGAAACAGTGAATTGAAATATTTAATTGTATCTGCAACGTAAGGATTCTTCAATGCAGCAATGAACAGCAAGGATAACCAGCAGAATACAGTATCCCATAGCTACCGATCAGATTTGCACTTACTGTTGTTATAGCAGCACTGCCATGCTAAAATGTAATATAATAAAGGCCGTTTTTTTTACAATTTGCCATCACCAACTGAATATTCCTCTCCTAGAAATTTCTGAATGCAAAAGGTTTCTCAGGCAATCTTTTCTATTAACCCTTAATATGTACATGTATATTCATTAGAGCACAGCTGGAACAACCTTTTTCCCAAAAAAATGGAACCCCAGTTTTTTATTTGCTTCATCATACTTGGAGGGCCCAGTTAAACTATTGCACATTACATGCAATGCGCACTACTGTACATTCTGGTACACTGCAAGAAATGGTACGTGCACCTTTTTTGATGTGTTAAGCAGCCCATTCTAATTATTAGGCTACTTAAATCAACTGGAGAAATCACCACTATGTTGGAGGGGTTGTGGAATAAAGGGAACTCTGGCACATCTGTGGTAGGAATGCCCAATAATATGGAAGTTTTGGCAGAAGCTTATACAACAAATACAGGAGATCTCGGAAGTTAATATCCCAAACGATCTATGGGTGTGTATATTTCATGATACCAAGCTTGCAAAAAAAAAACAATACAAAAGCATTATGACATCTTACTTAATAAAATGCAGCAAAGTGACTAATTCCTGAAATGGAAGAACTATATTATAGTAGGGAGGATAAAATGGAAACATTTTTAAAAATCTAGGAAAGATGACGTGCTTAAATGTTCAAGGAAATACACAGAATTGGTAGGAGCATAAAGACTATGGAGGAGGGAATGAGACATAGAAGAGATTAGAGCAGAAGGGTGTAGGAGGAAATAGAACAACGGAGGGAAGAGGATAATTTGGAGGGTGGGTAGGGTGGGGAGAAAGGTGTATAAACAATGTAATAGAGAATTGGATAATTATATATTTATTAAATTTTTTGTAAATGTGGAAAATTAATAAAAAGATAATACATTTAAAAAAAAAGGCTGACTTAACACAATGAAAGTTAACATTTGGCATAACACACGTGAACATATGCACTGTAATACCTGAATGGGCCCTAAAACTCTGCATTCCCCTGACTAGCAAAGTAGCTTTTGCTTGAAACCTTTCAGGGTCTTGCATATTTTTGCCAAGCTAAAGTCGGGTATTCAGCTCTGAACACGAATATTTAAGATGTAATCCAACTAGTTAATTATACTGATGACAAGATTTTGTTGACAGTTGTTTAATGCCAGTAAATGTGTTTTTGTTCTAGATTTCCTCTGTGAATGAAGCATTTATTGATCTTTCACTGCCGATTATAGAAGGGAGGGTACGTAAAATACAATTTTTGTTTCATTTATTATTGTGTAAACAAAGCAGGGGGTTATACATAATTAATTACCTACTGCTAGATAATGGCTCCTGATTGACTCTGCGTTATTGTGCTGTTTACTGAAAAAATAAAGCTAGGTGTACACTTGCAACTGGGTGACAAAAACACACAGCTCAGCCTTGGTTTTTACTGCCTCTCAAGCTTGCCTCTGGAAAGGCAGCAGACAGGAGTGTGTATATTCAGGGGCATATACAGTTATCCTCTAGTAGCAATTAACGGGCAATACTGCCAGCCATGCACAACTGCTTCACTCATTTAGGGGTTAAAACAGGCAGTGAACAGACTACGTATGCCTCCTCACCATCTGTTAAACGTCCTCTGAAAAGTGATCCACCATAAATTGTACACCGCTAGTGTAAACAAGAGTATTGGATAACTGTGTAATTTTACCCTAAAATATAGTCATGACACACAATAATGCACCTGGGTATTAATATAGCATTAAATGTATTTTTTTTTAACTGGACCATGCTCTGCAAATACTGAGTATAACTTGATATCAGCCACTTGGAATTCCCTATACATGCAACAATCAGACAGGCAATAGAGGGACAGCTGGGAGCAACTAGGGTGTTCTGCTTGCAACTGTGCTGATCCTCTGCTTCCCTTTCACTGTGCAGTCATCAAGTAGGGGATGACATCATTAAAGTGGAGCTCCACCCAAAAGGGGAAGTTCAACTTTAAGGACTTGTCCGCTCCTCTCGAAGAATTGTCACTTTTGAGGAGGGGCTATCCGAATTTGACAGGTACCCACTCCCACTTCCGCTTCAACCTCCTAGGTGAGTGGAAGTGGACGTTCTCCTCCCCCCCCCTCTCCCCGCAGTCTTCTGGAACACAGGACAGGTCCCAGAAGATTGTGGAACCATTTAAAACAAGCAGTGTGGCTCACGCATGTGCAGTGGGCACTTGGCTGAGAAGCCACAAGCTGTCATAGCCGAGTGCCAACGGTTAAGCTACCAGCGGCGAGGACAGCTGGTGAAACCGACTGGGGTGGACAAGTGAGTGGCTGTTTTTTAGAAGTCAGAAGCTACAATTTTTGTAGCTGCTGACTTTTAATTTTTTTCACAGGAGGCTGGGCAACCACTTTAAATCCCTTCTACAGTTTATATCTGTAGTAGAGATGGTGGAGTCATCCACCTGGATGTGTTGTGTGGCAGGGCTGTGTAAATCTCAGGACAGGACGGAAAGAATTTACAAATACTTTAGAAGGTAATCTAATATGTATTTCATCTGTGCATTTTGCTGTTTGCCTGGAGAGTAGTCCACGTTTTCTAGGTGTTAGAACATGAAGTCAATTATATTTATGCTAACTTTTCCTTGTTTATTTGTGGTCCAATGTACATTAGGTATCCAAACCTGTAGTCTATGGAAAAGGAAGCAAAGTAAGAAGTACACACGGAGATCACAGTACTGTGTGCAACTGTATGAGCAGTGTATCAGGAAAGATAAAGAGGAAACACTCACCAATACAAGACGGTGTACGTTTATATCTTGACCATATAACAGATGTTTTTCTGCATGCTTTATAATCTTTTCAACAAAATCATGTTACAATCCCTTCCAGGCCATTTTTCAGTGTTGTTAGTTTATGTCAGGGCTCCCGGGTATGACCAGAGGTGTGTGACTGACGCAGGGAAACGCAGACTTCAGATATGTTATAAACAATATAATTTATTGACACTAACAATACAAACATAAACGCAGTGCAATACTAAAACATAACACAGTGCAAACGAACCAAACCAAACCACCCACAGATAACAATACATACAATGCAAGCGTCGTCAGGCAGGCCGGGTCAATAACAATCGGGCAGGTAGGTACAGGTGGAGCAAGCGGAGAATGGTCGGGGTCACAAGCCAGGTTCAGCAGGTAGCGGGCAGCGTGGTACAGAGGGTCAGGCAGAGGGATGGTCAGGAACGAGCCGGGGTCAGAGCAGGAGAAGTCAGCAGAGGTCAGATCAGGCAGGGTCAGCAACAAGACAGGAACAGGATGCAGCAACAGGATACAGGGCCCAGGAAAAACACACACCAAGGCAGAGTCTGCAGGTCCGGCCATCCCTTAAATACACCAGTATAAGCAGTTTCAGGTGTTTAGCTGGCTGCAAGGTTGAGTCTCTGATTGCTGGGAGCACCCGCTGGCCAGCCCTGGTACTGCAGCCCATAAGGCAGGCGAGTCCCACCATTGCTGGCCAGTCCATTCCTGACAGTTTAACTGACAATTATTCGGTCATACAACATTGTACTTTAATGAATTTTGTAGAGTTATTTTTAAAGAGATAAAGCTTTCTTTTGGTGGTATTTATTAATCACTGTTTTTTTTTTTATTTCTTATTATATAAAGGAAGAAAGAGTAAACATTTTGAAAAAAGTGTCCCTTGCTTTGTGTTAAAAAGCATATCAAATAAAAATGCCAGGACATTACAAACACCGTTGGTGGTTAGTGGCACCCCCTTGTGAAAAGGAGGTGTGCTATTTTCATTGTAAAAATGGTACTACTATTTACATTTGTGATTGCTGTGATTAGCCATCACAGCGATCACAAGGCACAGAGCTGCTCCAATCAGCTCTGTGCCTTTTGCCTATGCTGTCCCTTATCTAATGATGGATAGTACTAGGGGATTGGGTAAGATGTCCCACCATTTACACTGTTTTTATCAACATCTCAAACACTGAAACAGAAAACAGATATGGAGATATCCTCCTTGGACTTTGTAAGGCAGGACTTTGTAAAGTGTGTGCAAAAGTATAGAACAGTAAATGTTTATGTCTAAAAAAAGTTTTGATAAAAAGAAAAGGGTTCAAAGGGGTTGAACTGCAATACAACAATTCATGACTTAAAAGTGAATGACATTATACAATATACATATAACCTGACAGTCTGTAATATATCAACTGACAAATGAGCTAGCAGCCTATAAAGACTTGAACAATGATAGTATCCTGACAAACC